TTCGCCGCCGCCCCCTTCGCCTCGCCGCCCTCAGCGCCGCCCTCGTCGTCTCCGCCGCCGCCGCCCTCGCAGCTCGACGCATCGCCTGCTGATCGCCGGCGCGATGGGTCTCCCGCCACCCCAGCAGACGCCCACGTCGTCTCCGCTGCCGGCGCTGGCCTTCGCCCTCGTGTTGCTGCTGCTGCTTGAACCAGGTGAGCGACTCCAACGCCGGAATCTCGTCGGGTTGCTGGTTGCTTCGTATGTGTGTCTTGTGTTGAGTTTTTTTGACAGGGCAAGTGCAACGTCGTGTGTGTAAACCCGCCATTGGAGGATCACAGATTGTTTCTTCGTGTGTCAGGTGGCTCATTACGTCGCATATGACATGTGTTGGGTTTGATGAGACGCATGACTGTTACTATGTCACGTGTTGCTATTTTTGACAGGGAAAGTGAAGTATCATTTGTGTGTAAAATCAGTGATATGACAGTCACTGTTTTTTCGTGTGTCATGTTGTTTCTCACGTCGTTTGTCCCGTTATCTAGTGGGTTTGATGACACGACCAGTGTTGCACCGTGTGTTGGAAATCTTTCGATGTGTGTCACGAAATATCTGGAAGATGATGTTTTCTTTTGGATGATGACTACATAAGTGGGCTTTGCATGATCCAGTATCAGGTTTAAATTGGTACGTTTTTTTTGTGCTAAATGGAATATTTTGTACTGTTTGTCAACGATAGAAGCGATTTTATAATGAAAAGTGACGATTTAAAAATTCAGTGTCTTCAGTTCAGTGATTGAAAAAAACCGTTGCTGCGTGTATTGAAGTTATAGAACACATTGATGTGTTGTTAATATTCTGTGTAGAATCGGGTTAGTCAGTCTGAATAGTTTCAAAATGTTCTTCTGGGAATTTCCTACATACTTAATGATTATTATACCTGTTTTCAGGATAAATCGTTGATGTCACTGAAATGTCATTTGTTCGATGATACTCCTGAACGTGACTTCGTATCTCAAACTTAGTTATAAAGTGTGTAATTAGTTTTAATAACAGTTGGTGAAGATTAAAATCATTAGCGTCGTTCAGAGATATTTCTCTCAGATCATTTACTAATGAATTCTGTGTTGCGAGTTATTGTGCTTCGTATTATCAGTTCTATTGTGAAAATAAAAAAAAGATTTGTATGTTGATCTAAAACCCCGATTCTATAGCGATTCTGTGGCTAAAGTAGTAAACATTTTTCGTGCTCCCACTATGATGTACAGCTCTGTGCCCGAAGTTTAACATTCATTCTTCACAAATTGCTTCATCACCGCAAAACTATGGCGTTGCTAGTAATATTTCAGGAAGGCTGTGATTCAAAAGAATTACGCGTCTCATTATCGTAAAGAAACTTCCTCGTCACTGGTTAGTGTTCCCAGTTACTTCCCCGCGAAGGCAGCGTATCGCCGCACCTCGCCAGCGGAGGATAGCCGGTGGCGGTCGCGCGGGGGCGACCGACAGCGTCGCAGAGGCCTTGGCCATCCCGAGGGGCGCGCCGCGCCGACCCGCCTGACATGACCTTCGCTGCGGCCGCCATTCCAACGCCCTCTGCTGCTCGCTTCGGCCTCCATGGCCCTCTGGAAGCCTCGCAGACTGCACGCGGTAGATTTCGCGATAAACTTGGAAGGGAAAGGAGTTGAAATGTGGAAACCGAAGGAAACTTTGAAGAAATTGTACGGAAATCACTAGCCTACACACGTAAAGTGAAATATCAAATGTTTTTAAAATCTAACAACACAATACGTGGTGATAAATGAAAAGTCATTTATGATACACAAGAGTAAAATACGTGTTTAGGTCCAATGAAATAGTTACACACCGCAGGCCACATTTAGACTGGTATCGAAAAATTACAACTACTGAAACGAAAATAAGTAAAAATAAAAATATCTAAATTACGTTTGAAAGCTGAAACGGAACCCAAAATTTGTTGGTAAAATTCACAACAGGATATTTACGAATTTTGTTGTAATGAGCAAATTGTATTACCAGTGCAATAGAAATCATTGCCGTTTAATTTATTTTAATTTCTCAAACTAATCATAGTTTTCAAGCAGAAAGAAAATGAATTATGGCTTACATGACTGAAACAAATAAAACGTTTAGATGATTTTTTTAAAACGCAAATATTAATCTAGAAGTGTCTCATCTTTGCATGATAAACAATATTTCTATTAATTAAGAAACGTAACTGTGTTGTTGCGCAGTAGTTTGATAATAACTGAACTTTGACTTGAACTTGAACTTTGCAATGTAAGACAACGATAACAGAATAGTAATACTTTCAAATCTGGGTTCCACAGAGTATTTGGTGAATATTTGTAGCGTAAAGGCCACTATTTATGGAACGTGAACCTTCATTCACTAGTTCATTCCGTCAACATTATCAGTATATCAAGAGGAGGCTCTCGTACAAAACCTGGGGATACTATTTATATGCAATTACAAGATATAAAAAAACGAATCTAGGTAACAAATTCTTTGTTTGTAAGGAGGTGGGCAAAATAAATTGCGACGTATTTTGATAAATGTTCATCCTTTTGTAATAATTTGATGCGATGAAAGTGTTCCAGAGGTTACTTAATAGTTATGTTAATTTTTTATTGCACTTAGGTAAGCTTGTTAATTAAATATTTATAACTAATGTTGAACCAAAAAAAACTATCGGTACGGAAAATCTGAATTTAATTTTCTATAAGAATTTACTTATGCGTTTCTAATTGAAATTTACTGAAACCTTTTTGAAGTTTTTGACACTTTTCGTAGGGTTCACACCAGTTTTTGGTATACTGTTTTTAATGAAAGGTATGCTGTACGTATTCATTTCCAAATACATTTTTAATGCGATGCATTATTGTAAACGAATTGGTGATGATTGGAATTTGTTAAAACAAACGAGACCAGTAGTATGAATTACACTGCATAATTCAATTTTATATTGTTACCAGTAAGTCTGTTTCAAACCACGGCGATTATGATACATTAGCTAGTTTTGACACGTACTGGGAACAAAAAGGGATTTGCACACAGTTTCACACCACATACTATAATTAAATTAAATTCTTCTCACCACGTCTGTTCTATATGCAAATTAACATTTGTATAGCATCGTAATTTACCGAACCCTATAGAAACAAAATTATGCAAAAATCAATAAATTCGCAAAATGTGTAGAATTTCAAAGTGCTTTTCTATCATAAATATAAATAAAACATTCGCAGGTGCTCAATTAAATGTGTTTTCAAATTTCTTTTTATATTGATATACCACGCGTGCATCCTGCTTCAGCAGGTGCAATCGCCTTTCTGGGGGAGGGGATTCCGGTTTTTACCCCCAAGATTGTTAGCCCTAGATGTACGGACGATTACATGACGAGGGATGAAAAGACAGTACACAGACATGGACATGCATAAATACACCAATGCCCGAGGCGGAACTCCAAACCGCGGTCTCCTGGTCCGAGACCACTACGATACTACTGTCCTAACGATCTTGGCCTTCAGACCGCCTTTTTTATTGATGTTATTATTATTATCATTATTATTATTATCATTATTATTATCGGTATTATTATTATTATTATCATTATTATTATTATTATTATTATTATTATTATTATTATTATTATTATTATTATTATTATTATTTCTTTCGCGAGTATATATGACTACGCGGTACGTGCATCCCAAGGGGGCTTCAACTTTATTATAATTGGGGTAGATCCACGATACTTGTCTATAGGGGCATTTCAATTCAGATGCCATTTTTACAACCCAGGATTGTTAGCCTGTAGTGATGTGATGAAATGATGATACTGATGATAGACACAAACGTGCAGAAAAACACACAACACAACCCTGCCCGAGGTGAGACTCAAACCGCCGGTCTTCTGGTCTGAGTCCGCAACGGCACTACTGCCTTAGCAATCTCGGCAATCGGATCGGCTTCATTTACATTATTTTTACTTTTCTTTTAGTTTATTTCTAGAATAATTACATTAGTATGCACATAAATATTACTCATGGTTGAAAATGATTACGCACTCAACATACATTAAAAAATGAAGTGATCATATTTCCAGGTATATGCATCTGGAACAAATGTAGATCATTGTTTCAAATTTAGAGGTTTCGATCATTCCACTTGAGATGAAAGAGAAAAAATGCCGTGTGCGGAACTTTTTAAAATAATTTGATCTGGAAATCAACCAGAATTTTATTTGTTTACTTTTGCTCCGTGAATACCTTTAAAAGTATATTCTGAATACGGTGGCGAAAATTGTTTTATAGTAATAGTACTAATTCTTTGGGTGTAGGAGTTCTGTTGCAAATAAAAATAGTACGTACTGGATTACAACTTGTAGAGTGTGTGGATAAGTTACACTCCAGTAAATAATCATTACTGCAGTTTTCATTTTTTTTATTTTATTCTAATGATCTATCTTTTAGGGCACCGAAAAAGAAAGCCAGGTATCTTTTTCGGCATTGTGAAATTATTAATTGATAATTTCTGAAATATCGTCCATGAAATGTTTTCCTCGATATTTGAGAGATGGGTTGACCACTTTGTCATCTAAAGCACGTAAGCGCAACCCCACAGTGAGCTGTAGAACACAAGTGAATTAATAATCAGTGGTCATTTATTAATTTATATCAACACAGGTCGGCCATCTTCTGTACGACGAATTGATAAATGTAAATGGAATTTATAGTGCAATGAAATTTTTGAAAATGGTTCGATACCACGTTGCACGTTATTCGTATCATAACGTCGTATTATAATTCTGTTGGTTGTCAAATCGAATCTAACTTCTTTTGATTAATATCTTATGTCCTATAGTAACAGCGTGTCTAATGAAACTTCTTCTCCAAGTAACTAATGACTAGATTCCCGTAAGTATCAAGGAAAAAGGACATGAATGAAAAAAGTGATAATTACAGTTTTCATGATAAAGGTCGGATCCAATTGGTTGGTGAATTCTCAAATGCTCTTGCTGAATTATCCTTGAGAGTTGCCAATTTTTTTGGCTAAAGAGACACTTGTATCAAAAGACTATGAAACTCACAATACTTTCGATAGATCGATTGCATAGCACGCAAGCGACAAAATGAACAAATGATGGCCGGTAAGGGTCCAATCTATTTTAAGATATTATAAAATTTTCTGTTCA